GTAACTTTATTATTTTAAAAACTTCGTTAAGTGTAATTTTAACAAGTCAGTCAATTTTAACCTACAATATTATAGTAATGTACTGACTCTCATGTATATTATACAGCATTAGTTGAGAGATTTTTTTCCTTGAGAAAATTTGGCATGTACTGTAACGTTACCTGATATATATCCAAAGTAATCGATATTGAATCGAATCTAATCGAATCGCAAGCTTGTGAATGAGAATCGAATCGAATCGTGATATTTGTGTCAAAACCCAGCCCTACTACACGGTGTCTTGTTGTGTTCGGAGCATCTTTATCCTTTGGTTTCTGCGTAGACCTGCGCATTCGGCTCTCTCGTAAACACTACATGCGCGAATCTGTGGGCGGGGCTAAACGGACAGTGATGGCGATCTTCTGCGGAGGCGGTGCTTATCCACACTATTAATCTCTCGTAAACACTACATGCGCGAATCTGTGGGCGGGGCTAAACTGACAGTGATGGCGATCTTCTGCGGGGGCGGTGCTTATCCACACTATTAAATCATAGAGTAGAACATTCCAAAAGCTGTCATTTTGGCAGACTGCCTTCAATATAACATGTTTTTTGGATAATAACAGATTTTTGAGTTCTGAAACTTACAATATGTTTTTATAGTACAATGACCTCTTATAAGTCAAAAGTTTAAGGGAATTTTGGTTCAGTTCATGACCCCTTTAAATGTTAAAAATGTTGGATTGATTTTTTTGTGAAACATTTTAGCCTGTTTCACTTCAGTTTTATAAGAACAAAACAAAAAAGTGATCAGGGTCTGTTGGCTATCATCAAACTTCAGTTTGACATCAAAACTTCATCAGTTTGTTAACATCCTGTTAACATCCTCAGCCGTGTGTGTCTGCAGTTTACCTAGCTGGCTACTTACATAGAAGATGAATTAGCATCAGCCTGTTCGTTTCTTTTTGCTTCATTGGGCAGCTTTTAAGTTTACAAGGCTTGTTTGACTGGGCTTTATTATCTCCATTACCGGAGTCATGAAAGGTTGTCAGCATTCTCTTAAGGATGAACTCGAAAATGAGCAGCTAATTTTCACAGTTTGACTTGTGTGTCTTTAATAAGGGAGACTTGGAAATGCATCTGTTGTTCAATTAAAGTCAGCCAATTCAAAGGGCTTTTTGAACACTGAGCTTTGAAGTCGAGAAATGCTTAGTAATTTCATTTATGTTCCCTCTTATTAAGTATTTACTTCCTTGTGATTAAATTGTGTATAACAGTGTCATTCTGATTTCCCCCAGAAATCTTTGTTCATTTTGGAGGAGCAGTAAGCATCAAATCGTCTCTCAGACCCGTTAAGCTTCACTTAAGAACATTTGAGATTTCTCTGACACCTCTCATCCTCACGTTCAGCCGTGAATCCTTCAGGATTGGTGTCCTGCTGAACTCAGAGTGGCTCTCATGACGTTTGGCAATCTGCAGTCCTTCAAGTATGGGAGAGTAACAGCAGGACACTTAAAGTAAAATAACAACCTCCTGTGCACAGATTCCAGATCAGGGTTTAATACAGGCATTAACCTAATGCTGAAATCATCCCACTTGAGACCCAATGGCCGTACAGTCCTAATTGTGTTCTTTGAATCTAGGCAGATTTCCATTTTGTTTTAACCTGGTTTGTTTGTGTTTATGCCCGGCTCTGGGCATAAGAAAACAGGAGATGCTGAGTGAAAAAAAACTGATTGAAAGGCTAGTGAATCAAATGAATCCAGTCGTGTCAAAGGTGCACACTGCTCTTGACACACAGCAGCTGGTTTCCTGACAGAGAAGTGTCTTTGATTAAGAGATCTTGGTGACAGAGTGAAGAAACTCATTGGCATGGCGCCCCAATCAATCATATAAGATCTTAAAGTCGCATAATATTAGGGCAAGGTATAGAACCATTCAAAAGTTTTTAATTATTGAGAGGAAAAGTTTCAATATTACTTTAAAAAGGAAATTAATGGCAATACACATCCTGCGGTGGAGATCTGACAGCCTGTCTTCCTCTCTCTCCGTCTGTTGGTGAGTTTGTGTCAGTTTTAATGTGTACACAAGCACATGAGATTCTGCTGGATGTAAGCATGTAATATTTAAAACCATTTCCACAATATCCCACACAATAGATGCATTAACACTCGGCTCTGGAAACAAACAAGTGCCTGGTTTTACAGCTTCATCTGTCTCTGCCTTGAAATCTTGCCCTGTCCTCAGCTTGTCTCACTGTAATAAAGGCCTTTGCTGAGACCTTGCATGAATACTGCATTCCTGTCATCTCTCATGCATCCAAAATGAGATCAGTGAGTCAATGATGAGATTTATCATTAGAATTTTCATAAGGGGTAAAGGTTGTGTTTCCCCCTAGGCTCTTTTGCACATGGAAAAGTACAACGCCACCAACCTGACAGTGACAAGCAGCACCTATCACGCGATCGCTCTGATCTGAACATGCAAATAAACCTGTTCTTTCATAATTAACTACACCGAATAAGCATTTCCAGATGTCCTATGAAATATTTAGGGGCTTGAGGAGGTATAAGAGAATTAAGTACATTCCCAAACTGAGTAGAAATGTTCCTGTTGGCACAAATAGCTTTCTGTTACCTGGATTGGTGTAGAGAACTTGTGTGCGAAGGTTAAATGGTGAATTAGGTGAGTCTGTCTAAGATTAAAATGTGCCACACACACTTCTGTTCTGCTCAAGCCTTAGCATTTATGCTAAGGAAAATCTGAAGGGAAAAATTAGACAGATTTGGGAAATGGCATGTAACATCAATGCATATGTTACAGTGTAAATATTTATTTATAAATAAATGTAAATGTTTATTTATTCATGGTTACACTTTATTTTAATGTGTCCTTGTTACAGTGTAACTATACATTTGAGTATTAACTACATGTATATGGTTAGGGTTACTTCCATGTAATTATGCATAATTAATTGTAATTATAATAGTACATGTAACGTGTAACAAGGACACCTTAAAATAAAGCGGTACCTTATTTAATTATTGCTGATTTTTTTTCTCTGCATATTTTTAATGTGTATTTATTTATTTGAATTATTTCATAATGTGTGTGTGGTATTTGTTCTATTTTATATATACTATAACTTATTTACTTGTAATGCTTCTTACCAATTATATTGTATTTTTATATAAATATATATTTTTTATTTGACAGAAATATTAGAATACAGTAGTAATATATTACTAGTATATTTATATTTTTTATGTACATATAAAATACATTTAATAAATTGTATTATATGGTTTATTAATATTAATAGATTTATTTTATTTTATTCGTTTTTTCGCTGGACTTATGGAAATATATGGAAAGCAATATGCAGATACCCAAACACTATGCTCCATGAGCTTGTTGAGCATTTCATTTCAGAGCCGTAGGAATTGCATTTATACATTTGGCAGATGCTTTTATCACATTTGATCAGTATCCAAACCCATGATTTTGCCATTGCTATTGCCAAACTCTGCTAATTGAGCTGCAGGAATGGGGAATTGGTCCTCTGTTTGCTGCTATAGGAGCTTACACTGTTTTGGCTCGATTTTCCACTGGATGTTAGAACATGGCTGTGAGTGTTTGCCCTCATGCAGACATGAGAGCATCAGAGAGGTCAGGCGCTGATGCCAGGTGATTAGGGTCTGGCTGTTCTAATTCATCCCAAAAGCAAATCATTCAAATGTGCTTTTACCAAAAATGTATGGTTGCATTTCTGTAACATTAAATAGCATTTCATATTTATGTGTTTTAGGATTGTCCTTTATTTTTCAGCATGTTGAAATATGATATTACAGTTGAGATACTGTAAGATTGATACATTTTTGTCCTTGAAATGCTTGGTATCATTTGTCATCAACAGTTTTTCCATTCTTAATCTATGTTTGATAGCCGCTCTTTCTGTATAATATATCACTCCCTTGCGAATAATTGCAGGTATGACCGATGATCGTCTTATTAAGTTGTTTTAGCAGTCACAGTTTGTTCGCTATGATAGGTGGGAATCGTTTCCGTGTGCTAAATGGTCGCTGCCTCCAATTTTTAGTTGAACTGAAGCAGGATTGAAAAATGAGTTACAATAAAACAAACACTGAGAAAAGCACAGCATAATGACATGCTGGATATCAGTTTAATAGCTAATCAATATTTGTTGTTTGTTCAATTGTGCAGCCTCAGATGTTTTCACATCTAATTGATTCTGGCAAAGGGGTTGTTGCGCAATGGACGACCTTATTTTAAGTAGGTATAATGTATTGCGAAACTTGTACTGCACTAAATACAGCTACACAGGTCACATGGGTGTGTTAGTGGTGTCTGCTTTCTGTTTTCTGTCTATTTAATTTATTTAAACATTCATACATAAAATGGTATGAATACACACCTTGTATGATGAGCATGTTTTTTCTATTAAATTCAGAATTTAAATTATTTTATTTTTTGATTATTTTTAAGGAAATAAGGTTACTCCCTTAAAAATGTAATGATATTTCTGAATTAACAATTCATGATGAAAAAAAAATTAAAAAGTATTTAAATTGTTTCTAATATAATATATAATTTGTGTTTTTTTTTCAAATACTCTTATTTTGACCCAAATATTAGAATACAATAGTAATCTTTAGATGCAAATTATTATATTATTTCTTATTTGTTTATATGATATTTATATTTTTTCTAATATTTAGTAATGTATTAAATGCATTTTATATTATTTATATGTACTATTTGTTTTATTTCGTTTTACTTGCTAAAAATGAATAAAGTTACTTCAGTTTGTAATGTCATTGTTTGTGGTGCGACTACCTAAAATGTATTGAAAATTATGAATTAACAACTGATTAAAAAAAAAATTTTTTTTTTACCTTGAAAAAATTTATTTAAATGCTTTTTTTTAATGAAAATAATGATTAAAATGTGTTCACTGACATGCATTCAAATTAAAAAGAAAATTAGTATTAAAATGACTCTTAGTAAAAAAAATAATATAAAACCACATAAAACATGAATACAAAGAGTATATTTTTAATAACTTGATGAGTGATTTAAACTAAATTTTTTTTAACATTATTTTTCCATTTCTTTATTATGGACTCTCTTAATTGACCCAAAAGCAACAGTTATTTTAATATTATTTATATACTATTATAGTATTAATATTTTGAACTAGCATTTATTTGTTTGTTGTTCATGCTTTTGTCAATTTGATTAGTTTGTGCCTGTCTTTTTAAGTCTTTCATAATTTTTATATTTTATTTTATTTCAGCTTTACGTCAATTCCCGAAAACTATTTCTAATAGTTTTAGCTTTAGTTAACAAGACACAAGTAAACAACCACCCAGGAAAATCTAGCAACTGCATAGCAACAGGAAAAATCGCTCTGAACCCCGTAAAATTATACGTAGCAATATATAATGATTGATTGTTCAATACTGATTTGAATAGGCCTCTGAAGGAAGCCTCGTTTCATGTTTATACCCATGTTAATGATCAATCCTTCATGTTTATGTATCACCTGAATGTGTAATTAGAGAACTTAAAAGACATGCACAAATTTCATCGTCAGGTTGAGAGCCGACAAACAAGAGAAGCATTTCTGTCAGGCGACACATAAAATGCAGCCTCAGGTGACTGGCATCTTGAGCTAATGTTCCTTGCCTGTATGAAATGTGCCTCCATTCAGCTCCGCAAATCCCCTCCAGCGGCATATACGGCTCCAGTATGCATCATTGTTCTTAGATGACAGTTTTAATCAAGGTGACAAGTCTTTGTGTGGTTTCATTAATGGCTGACAGCCGCAGTGCTGTGGCACATAAGGGAGAATGCAATGTGCTTCACGGACTATTTCCTTTGCCCCAAAAGCAGAGCGCCATCTGAGGATTACAACCTGTCACACAAAGACAATTACACTTCAAAAACACTTTATGAGCTCAACCGATAAAGACAAACGCAGAAGCGCCACTTAAGATGCCCGAAACCCACTGATAGTGTCTGCGCCGCTCACCAGAGTGTTTAAGCTTTAGTGTTCGAAGCGTCTATAAGGGGTTTAAGTTTCAAAAATAGTATCTTTTATGTCACGGCTGGGAGTGAAGAGACAGATCCCTCAGGGACACTTTTATTGAAACGAAACCAAACGGTTTGAAACAAAAGCTCCATTGTGTTGGGCTCAATGAAATCAGTGTATTTATACAGTATATATTTTTGACAAACAGAGTACTGCACAATGGAGTTTTAATGTTTAAATTGAAAAATTAAGTGATATAAATAAAAATAAAAAAATGTTTTAATTAACTTTATTGTTGTTATAATTACTTTAAGAAGTACATTCTGTTGTAAAATAGTAATACATTTCTGTCACAATTTCTTCAAGATAAACTGAACTTTTATTTTGGTGGTTTGTAATGAAGACCTTTTGTGTTTTTATGTGTTTTGTCAAATGAAATGTTAAAAATGGACATGTAGTCATGGTCATGGTCATTGTAGAAACTGATTCTTTAGCCCTATTCGAGCGGGACTAGTTTTACAGGGCGTCGTTAGAGAAAGTTGCTTTTCACAGACGTACTTTGTGATTTTAATGTACCGTACGAATCTGCCACGTCTGTGTTTTTCTCACACAACCTCTATAATAATTCCATAGCAAATTACCTACTGTTTCTCGGCAAACTCCGTGATCCTCTGAGAAAACTGATCGCGTCCGAATGCGAAGTCTGTGATTGCCGACGATATTTTTTTCACAGCGCGTTTCCTTGTGTGTTTTGGCCAACGTGAATTACCGTATACGCTTTTACCACGCAGCGCGTGTATTTCTGATATGTTTGCATCCCGGCAAAGAAATAAAAATATAACAATAATAAAATCAAGCGCCAGATCACGTAAACTGTTAATACTGGCTACTGTAATATCAGCGTCAACGTCAGCTTAACGTTACTCAACTTCATTTCTGCATTCAATTATATAATGTTTTAATTAGGCTACATATGTACCTTTATGAAAATTAAACATGGTTCCCTTTCAGTCGGTCACTCCGAGTCAGAGTCCGGTCTCCGTTCCCTCCTTCAGGGAACGAGGGTTACCATACGTGACCGAGACGTTTACCTTAAATTTAAAAAATAAAATAGTTAAACTAAAGTAACCGCACATTAACCATGCTTTTGCTATACTAGCCATATAGCTTCACCATGGTATTTGTAGTAAAACTTTGGTTATACTATCAATTCGAATGACTAGCCTATATGCAAAGCACGCATGAGCGCGTGATCTTAGCAATGCCCAGATGTCCAAAACAGACCCTCCCACCTCTGTAATAAACACGGAGATGTTAGTCGCGTCCGAACTGAAAGTCGCAGACGTCAGGTGATAAGAATCGAAACTCAAACGTAGTTTAGAAAACTAGTCCCGTCCGAATAGGGCTTTTATCGGCACAAGTTTCTTGAGGTTTCTGTTTCTGTACAGTCATATAAACACTGTAGCAATAGATGCAGCAGCAGAGCTTCTTTCAAATCACTATCTACAGCTCTTTCCTTTACTCTTTTTTTCTTCAAGTTAGGTAATCTAATTTGAATGGTCATGAAGTGATTCTCAGAGCAGCTCTGGAGATAAAGATTGTGTGTTCATGTACTTATATAGTGAGACAGCAGAGGCTGAGAACACCACAAGCATCATGTGTCTTTGAGTACTGTACATGTAAACTCTTAATAAAGTTTTTTTTGGCATCTGGCATTTTTGGCAGGTTGGCATCTCATTCCATGAAGAACCTTTAACATCCATGAAACCTTTCTATTGCACAAAAGGTTCTTTATAGTGTAAAAATGTTCTTTATATTATTAAAATGTTCTTCACACTAAGAAAAAAAAATGGTTCTTTTAAGAACTGTTCACAGAAAGCTTTTTGGGGAACTAAAAATGTTTTTCAATATTTTTATTTTTAAATAAACTGCAGCATTCATTGACTCTGAGACATGCAGAACAAGCAGACTTTATATGCAGTCTTTTTGTGCTTTAACCCTTAAATGCATTAATGTTTCGCCAATCATTATTACATATTCGGGTCTTTAGCAATATATCCAGCACGGATGATCTAACTGCTGCAATAGCAAAAAACTCTCTTGATATTTTAAGAACAATTACAGAAGAATAAAATAAAGCATATTTCGTTACCTTTTGAAACTTAAAAGGGTTCAATTTGAGCAGATTATTTTACCATCGTTGTCATCGTTAGAGCGCACATTCAGCATCTGCCTCACATTTACGATCTCCCTACTTTATATTTGTTCATCCAAATTTTTGCCAAATTCTGTGACATTCTACGTTATTAAATACCATTTTTATGACCGAATTCTGTGATTCTCTCTGCCTTTTCTGCTTTGTAGAAATCATAGGACCTTAATTGTGTAACAAATGTTTTGCTCAGGTAAAGGTGGGCACAGAGTCACAGATGCTCGTGGTCATCATCTGGCTGTGCTACGGCACACCACACCTGGACCTCAAGGACAAATGGTGCACAGGTTGCATTGAAGTACCAGATCAGCAAATGCGCAAATGCAATGCTACATTTATGGCAGGATGGTCTTCACTTCAGTTTTTAAAGACAATCGGTTGGACAGCTTACAAAATGTATTAAATGCATCAACCTTTCTTTTCTAGTGTTGCTATCTACTAAAATGACCTGCTTAAAATTTAGGAAGATCTCTTTTTAATCTTTATAGTTTGTGTGATGAAGCTAAGATATCATAGTAGACACACAAAAATATAAGCATAATTACAATTATAAAGTCATGTTTATTGATTATCTTTTTAAAAGACAATCACATATTTTGGGGGATTTTCTTAGTATGTATAACATTAACTGTGATTGATTGATTAATTCATCAGCACATCCTATAATGTGAACTGAGTTGACTGACAGCCCTCAAAACATGATATATTTGTGTTTTCACTGCTTCTTTCTTTAGTTACTTCAAAATAAAAGAAAAAAATGGCTTGATTATTAGGTGATGTTTCTTTGCCTTGGTTGGAATGACATTTTGATTGTGGCATAAAAGGTTTGCCACCGTGTATTTTCATAGAGAACTGAAGGTTTTCATTTTTAGCTCATCAATCCAACGCAATTATAACACAAACGGCGCTCGCAAGGTTGCTTTGGTCCATCTTTTCAGCGTATAGAGAAATATTTTCAATTCTGCTCAAGGCAGCCGTTCCTGACCTTGTAGAAACTGATTCTTTTTTGACACATGTTTCTTGATGTTTCTGTTTCTGTACTGTCATATAAACACTCTAGCAATAGGTTCAGCAGCAGAGCTTCTTTCAAATCACTATTTACAGCTCTTTCCCCATTTTTTCCCCTTCAAGTTAGGTAATCTAATTTGAATGCAAATGTGCGAGCAGTAGGCGAGTGGGAACGCGCCTTTAAAATATCAATATTTATTGCATCTATTTAAACTGCTGGGTTGGTATAACGTTGGATATTTAAAAACGTGTCCATGGCATGTGTTTGAATTGTCACCGTGGATTATATTAAATGCACTAGTTATGTATTCAAACTCTCAAAGCCTTCAAAAAATACATTAACACCAGTCAAGAGCAGATCGCTCTGCATTAACCACATGAAAGCATTTTCTGTCAAGCTAATGCTATGCAAACACCCCGTCCTGGGTGAAAATTGTCTCCGCACCCACTCGTGTCCTCTGGGACGTGTAATGGGAACGAATTGTGTCCTCTTATTTTTCCCTAATGTTAAGAAAGCCATGCACGGCTCTCAAAGGAGATCACCAGACGCAGTGAATGCAAAGACGAGCTGATCCTTAAGGCTGTTCTGATCCTCAATCTTAATGTTTGGCATCTGGAAGCTTATGATTCAGTTGTACTTGTTCGCTAGAGGATGCATGTACAGTAATAGCAGAACACGACACTGGACACAATCATTAATTAATTATTCTCTGTGTTGAATCTATGCGTTACTGTAATGTGCTATAAATATTAAACATATACTAATCCACATTTTATTATGCAGTATGCAAGGTGAGGCAGTTATTTTACATTTTGAAGTACAGAATATTCACTTTGAATAGCAATTGAAAATCATGTGCTGTATAAATATTAATAAACTTTTTACTATTTAGTAAGCAGAGACTTATTTGAAATTTCAATCAGCTGTTGCTAAAATTACAGAAATATTACTCTTGAAGAACAATCCATCATAAAGTGTTATGGATTTGATACTGACCAGCATTTTACTATTGCATCTGTTATTGGTGATAGTTAATTTAAAATTGTAACACTTTTAATGACAGTTTGACGTTATGTACTATATGAATACTGATAAATCAACTTTTTACTATTAATATACAGTATAAGTAGAGAATATTATTTGAAATCTTAGTCAGTTGTTGCTCAAATTACAGAAATACTATTCTTGAACAACAGTTCATCATAAAGTGTTGTGAATTTTTAATATTGACCAATACTTTACTATTTACATTGTGTACATAGTGACAGTTACTTGAAAATTGCAAGGATTTTTCACTGAAATTAAAAGTACAGAAGCAATAAATTTATTTAATAGTAAATGACAGTGTGCTACAGCGAAAAAAAATGGTGTAGGATTTACTTTGAAACAGTTTTCACTCAAAGATGTATCAATTGATCATTGAATTCTCAAATAATTACAAAGAAAGAGTAACACATTGAAATAAATGTGAAATTTTAAAGTATAAAGACAGAAATAGTACTTCAACATTTCTTACAGTGTTTATGAAAACCACAAGCGTGGACATCGCACGACCCAGAGAACTCGCGGTGATCTTCATCGCTCGGAGCGCGAGGTCAGTGGTGTTTCGGAGCTCTTTCAGAACTTCCGGATTGTGACCACCCTCGTGCTGGTCCTTCAGTGCCTTAGCCTGGTGCACCTGCAGTAACGCCATAGCGTGTAAGGCG